ATCTGGGTTTTTATTCCTTAAGATCTGTTTTAGACTGATTAATCAAACGCTCCTTTACGCCCGGACAAGCATCTCGATGCAAGCTCAGAGATTATTGTGATGGCTTTCATTGGGTAAACAAGACATTTACGTCTGCTCGGCGCGCTCAACATCCATTCGTAGGCACTTTGGTATCTTTAAGTTCACTTCGTAGATCTGGGCCAATTCCAGGGAACACCGGAATGGCGCCGTTTTCCAGGAACATTGTGACCGAGTGAGCTTGGGGTCAAGAGATAGAAACAAAGATGGCGGAAGACATGTGGAACTTTGAGCATAATGCACTAATATTACAGGCTTTTTCTCGGGGCTATTCGGTGAAAGAATGTTAGCTTCTTGTTGACAAATGACCGAACCCTTGAAGATTGGTGCTTCACAGTGGAAGGACATTCAGCGGGAAAGACATTCAGGTAAAACCAGGCCAGAGTATTGAGGCGCAATCTAAACGGAGTCAGAGACACTAAATGCAGCAAGTACAGAATTAACTTGGTTGATCTGAAGAGACGTGAACAATGATTTTGTGACGAGGGAACCAACCTGTTTGACCGAAAAAGGGAACTACGCCAACTACAGGCCAAGGTTGGAGGAATCAGATAAGGTGGAGAGTTGTTCAGGAAAGTTAGAGCTACAGGTATAGAGATGATGAACACCAATGACCATACTAAGATTAAAGCAAGATAACAACGGACGAATGGCAATACAGAAAGGGATAGCAAAATGAACATGTGGTACTATACTGCGGGTATGTTAACTATTAATTAATTGCGTAGCAATGTGGTAATGATAAATTCATAGAACACTTAAGTGCATAACTATCAACTAACCATAAGCAGTCACCCTTCGCCATCAAGGACATGTACATGTAAATGTATGTGTAACAAATAATAGTGGACCTCTAGCGGTCCAAAGGGCCGCCAAGTGCAGCCCCATACTCATATAGGAAAGAAAAGGAAACCCATGAATTGTTTTTCTCATGGTTATCATGGCTAGCAGTATTGCTCGCAGCCGCATATGCACGATGGCGGCAGTGGCAGCAGAGTTGTGCAAGATGGCGGCCATACTCCAGCTAATAGGTTGACAGAGACATGCAGCCTTGGTTTATAGTGTACATGTCTGATATTGGACATCCATGTTATGGTCAATTGACACCTGTCAAAACAAGGTATCTGCTGACCAGTATCATGTGACCATAGCACAGGCTCAAGTTAAGAGCTCATCATGGTCACATTTTTTTTTGAAGTTGAATGCTGATCAAGTGCTACTTTTCGATTGGATCACAGGCTCATGCTAGGTTAACTTGCTGTAATCAGGGTCAGGTTGTGCGGAAGCCGGTTACCAAAAATCCTTGAATTAGCGCCCCCCTTGAATAAGCGCCCCCTTCGAATAAGCGACCCTCCTATTGGCCGAAATTTAAAATAAGCACCCCCCTCCCCTCCCCCCCATTTTGTGGGTGAGTAATGAGATAACAAACGATGTATAGTTTTTGTCATGTAGAGCTTAGATTTGAACATTGTTTCAGTTTGTGAACACATTAAGTGAACACGTTGAACACGTTAAGTACTATCAGTGCCGTGATTTAAACTTTAGGATCAGCTTTTTATGTCAATAAACAGCTTATGTTGTTGTTTACATGCAGATGATGTATTAAAAAAAATGATCATGTCAGGCCACAATTTGGGAAAAATTAAATAAGCGCCCCCCCTCAAATAAGCGCTCCTCTCGAATAAGTGCCCCCCCATCTTCTCCTAAATTTGAAGTAAGCGCCCCTGGCACTAATTCAAGGATTTACGGTAATACTAACCCAGGATTAAAAGATGTAAACATGTCAGGATGCATGTGCACCAAGATTTTAAAAAACGTCAATGGAATTGACCAGTATCTGATTGCACCCTAATTGCAAAGGTTTTCATATTTGGTCTTTCATTCCAATTACACTTGTGTTCATAAGGCGACCAGGGGTGTTAAGCGACCACATACCCACATACAATAATAAATTATATTTATAGACAGTTGAACCTTGCCACTTTGAACCCTCAGGGGAAACAGAAAATAGTTCGAAATAGCAGGAGTTCAAAATAGCTGATAGTAAATGACTGAATCTGAGCAAATTCAAGAGAAATGCTTTTGAATTTGAAATAACAGGGAATTGAAATAACCGAGTTTGAATTAACAGGGTTCAACTGTATTTGTTAGTGAAAAGCGTCTTAAATAGTTAAATTAGCTGTGAAAAGTGAACTAATCAAATTGACATGAGCATGGGACAAAGAAAAAATCTGAGTCCCCGACGGGAATGGAACCCATGACCTCCTGAACACTCAGTAGTGAAATGCTTAAAATTCACCATCTTTATTCATTTATCACACTCACGATGACTTTGACAGTGCTGATCCTAGCAGTATGCAGGACACCTGTCACATATGACTTCAGTTAAATGACTTAATTGCTCCCCATGAGTTCTCGTAGCTCAGTGGATAGAGTGCCCACCTGGTGTTTGGGAGGATGGTCATGAGTTTGATTCCTGTCGAGGACTCAGATTTTTTTCTTTGTCCCATGCTCGTGTCATATTGATTAGTCCACTCTTCACATTTCATTACTGAGCTTAAAATTCACCATCTTTGTTCATTGAATCAGCTGGTTTGACAATCTCCCGTCTGTCCTATAAACTACATGTCACTATCAATTATCCCAAAGGTTTCTTTTTACACAACATAAATAAGTCACTAAATACTAAACATTTTTCCTAGAAAACGTGGGAAATGCATTTCCAAGCCGGCTAGAAATAGAAGTCTCTTTTCTGATCTGAGCACAAAATCTCAGAAGCTATAACTGTTTCTTATTGTGTATTTCTTTGAATCTTGGAGTCTACTGCAGTGTCTTGGACTCTCTGATTAGTATTTTTGTTTGCACCGTAGCTAGTAAGAACTCATTGTAGTAGGCAAGGCCGTAGAAAGGTTGAATATTATAATAAGCGTTTATCTGTGTCTGCTATTGGTTTGGATATATGATTATATTATGATTATATTATCATTCGATGCATTTTTTCCTTCCTTTTTATTGGTCAAAAGCCCACCATATGACCTGCGCATAACTGCCTACAAATAATGGTCTGCTCATGCGCAATAGCAAGTAAAAACCTGGGTTGCTGCAAATAATAACACTATAACATTCTGCTCATACATAATTGTAACCATGCTTAGTGTGAAAAATGGCAGACTGCTTCCCCAAGCTGTCAGAAAGTGATTTTACTATGAAAACAAATTGGTGATCGAATCATAAAACAATTATTGAACTGGGTTTTTGCAAAATACTGTGATTTGTCAGTGTCTCGTAGATCAATAATAAATAGTGATTCTCTCACCACTGACAAACCACAATATTTTGCTCAACCTTGTCCAATAATTGTCAATTATTATTAGGGGAAGCAATCCAATTTCCAGTTACAGTGGCAAAAACACAGGATTACCTCTCAGGCTCAGCTTTTTCCACAAGTAAGTCTCTCAAGTCTCCTAAAATCATTCAAGTCCTGGTCCCAGATTTAAAACCCATGTGTGAGCATTTTGGCCAGTCCCAGATTTTATTATTCCTCGCCTCTAGTGTTACACTTACTATTGACCATCCAGAGCTGCTCATAAATCATACTTACAGAGGATCCCAGTGCTCCAGTGGCTGATGGGGCAGGGATGGGGTTGGGGGTTTGTTTGTGAGATCTGCTATGATTTAGCCGTATGTCAGGTGAGTTACATGTCATGTATTCTAGAGTTAAAGACCTCACTTTATTATCTTTAAGGAGCTGAAAGAGAACAGACCAGGACATTAACAAATTAAACAAACAGAAGGTGTAAGACAAGACTAAGGACAGGCTGATGTGATCAAATGAGGCACACACTGGTCAAGCCAGATGAAATGCAGTTGACATGCAAAATTGTTTAACAAAAAAGGCATGGTAAGTGTTCTGAATTAATTTCTTGTTTGAACAGTTCCTTAAGGCCCTGTTGGTGACTCACAGAAGTTGTTCAGACACTTGCACCCATACATAATGTACATGTGTAGCAATTATGATTAACAACATTCATTGCAACAAGCAAACACCCAACTGGTACAACACCATGCACGAGGGCACACACAAGCGTTAATAAGTGGGTGATGCGATGCAAACCTAAGTAGCAGAGAAGACTGCTGACCATTGCTAAGACTGGCAACCCAGCTACAAAAACTTCTGTCTACCCCCACTCCACTGAAGGATGCTTGAAATGCTACCCACACCAACCAAAAAAATACCAACACGTTTACAAACTTCAACAAATGCCTCTTGCTCCTCGTCATTAAATTACATATACACTGTACAATCAAAGTAATGACCCCCACCCCCATCCCCCACCCCCAAATTGACATCTCCCTGAAAGTAATGTTAATTTTTTACCTTCCTGTTGAATCCTGAAAGTAATGGTCCCCCCAAAAGTAACAGCTCAGCCAAAAGTACTGTAGCAGCCTTGTGACTGGCAGTAATAACTGTGGCTAATTAAGTTGTGAAATAAAACTTAATAAAATATGTTTTTATCTTTAAGGATCTATTTCCACACCAGCAACAGACCAAGCAATTTAGACTGGACCAAATGGAGGATTAAGCTCCCACTCTACACCGGCTTGGTTAGTAGTCTTCATTAAAACTAACACTTATTCACAGTGCTTTGCTGTTTCATACTGTATGTCATTCTGGGAAATAGGTTTTGTTGAGTGTTGAATACAGAAATTTGGATATGTATGGGTTATTGACCAAGTGTGAGGTCAAGATGGCTGGGTATTGGCCAAGTTCTTTTTTGTGTGTTTATGGTCCAAGACAGAGTCGAGGTCCATAAACTCGCAAAAAAGGAACGAGGCCAATATCAAGCCATCTTGACCGAACAAGCTTGGTCAATAAATGATTTATTATATGGCTTTTGGGGAAATTTTTCTTGTGGGAAGCAGCGTGTAGTCCTGAGCGGGCAAGATAGCGCCATCTTGTCGGTTCGGGTAGCCAATCACAGTGCAGGATTTGATTCATCTTGCCCACTCATGGAGCTAGCCATATAATGATGAACATTATTCTGGTTCAGAACTTTTTATCCTGACAAGGAATATCATTGTGTGTTCCAACATTCTGTTGCAAAAACATGTGATCAGTCGATTGCTTGAGGATTTTCCTTGAAACTTGAGAAGACATTATCTTAGCAGTCCGAGCAGGGCTTGAAATAACAGCCAGTCAATTGACAACCCGGGGTAGTCAATCAATATCGGAAAACCACTCCATCGATAAATTGAATTTAANGGGGGGGGGGTAAAATTTTAGGGTGATCCTTTATAAGGTTGTAAAATTCCCACAGCAAGTATATTTCTTAAAATTATGAAAACTTTATTACAAAACTATTTTCAGAATTGTTTTTATGTAAGGCTGGCAGAAGTTATGAACAAAATACTTACTAGTTAAATCTTGGTTTGCAGGCAAGTTGCTAGAGACATAGAGTAAGGATCAAGGACCATGGACCCAGGATATAGGACCCAGGATCCAGGACAGAGGACCAAGAAGCAGGGAAGACTGAGGGCTGCAGATCAAGGACAGTGGATGGAAAGCAAGCCTTGGATGAAGAACTTTCATAAGTTGAATTATAGATATGTTAAGGTATATGAGATGCTATGGGTAGCAGAGAGATGGCACAGTGGGAGAGCTGGGCTCGCCTCTCACTAATGTGCCATATGTGAGTTTTTTGTTGGTTCTCACCTTGTCCCGAGGGTTTTTCTCCGGGTACTCCGGTTTCCCTCATTCTTGAAAAACCAACATTTCCAAATTCCAATTCAAATTGGCTCGCTCTTTAAAAATCATTGTTGACAAGTGTTTAACGGTCCTCCATATTGCTTGGGCCAATTGAGGCAATCATGGTAAACATTTGTTTGCAGTGTTATATTAATACTCGCTGTTTATTTCCTAGCTACATGTGCACTAAATACTACAGGTTTCATAGTCTCCTTTGCGGCTGTTATGTTAGTTGAGAACGAAATTGGAAAACAAGCTTTTTTATTTGCTATTTTTTATCGTCATCGTTTTTTAACGTAGGTAAAAGAGAATTTTCCACATCCAATCAATCAATCAATCAATGATTCATTCATTCATTCATTCAATTATTCAGTCAATCAACCAATTAGTTATTCAATCACTCAATCCATGATTCAATTATTCAATCAATCAATCAATCAATCTATTATTCAATCAATCAATCAATCAGTCATTCAATTAATCAATTATTAAGTCAATCAATCAATCAATCATTAGTCATTCGATCAATCAATCAATTATTCAATTATTCAGCCAGTCAATCAATTATTCAATCAATCAATTAATCAATCACTCAATCAGTCACTCAATCAGTTATTCAATTATTTGATCAATCAATCAGTCATTCAATCAATCAATTATTCAATCAATCAGTTATTCAAACAATCAATCAATCAATTATTCAATTATTCAACCATTCAGTCAATTATTTAATCAATCAATCAATCAATCAATCAATCAATCAAAACATTTATTCAATCAGTTCATTCAAGCAAGCAGTCGATCAATCAATCACTCAATAAATAGACAAAAAGCATAGGCTCTGCAACTAACTAAAATAGTAATTTCTGACCTTTAAATTTATCTAGCTGCAAGATCTTTAACAGACACAAATTTCATTAATATTGCAAAACACGTCCAGTATGGCTTTGATGCACATGTAACTATGTAGTACCCACATAAACAGAGTATTGAACTGACCATTGATGTGTTGTGTGTGCCATTCATTTGCAAATAAGTGGCTTGCTTGCAAATTGCCTAGAGCTATGGGCATTCTAAGACTTTATTGTCACATTTTCCATGAATTATATCTACTCTGAAACTAAAATTATTTCTTTCACAATATCAGAGAGGAACAATTTTTCCCATAGTAATCATTACTGACTACAAATTAATTCAGACTGAATTACGGTAAAATCAATTTCTGATCAAATATAAATATCAAGTTTGATTTTATTCTTATTTTCATGCATACAGACATAAACAAAAAAGAGACGTTTTGTTCAAAATTGCCTTAAAAAAGTAAAATTTGCCCAATTATTTTTGTCCAATTCAGAAACAGACAAGTTGATTACAAAAATCCATACAGATAAAAACAACTAGAGCATATATCAATTGGAAAAACAGGTCAAAACTTATTTTATTTATATATTTTTTCCATATGTAGAGACATTTTGGGGTGCACTTTGAAAATTGTCATTTTGAAACTCTTTTAAGGCCATTAGATGCTCGTAAATGCAAAACACAAAATATTCCTAAAGATTTCTAACAACAATTTATTTCAGTTCCAGAAGAAAAATTGATTTTACATCTTCAATTTTTTTGGCGTACATATAAGCATTTTATTGTACTATGAAGCTTAAGGAAGTTAAATCACACAGCAGCATACAATCATTGCAGTAAATCTGATTTTACAGAAGCCACTTATTTGTGCATGAAAACCTAGCCCCTCCTTCTCACAAGATTCCTATTGAGCAGCTTCATGGTGAATTTCGTTTTTGCCTTTAATGTTCACCTCCTTTGCTATCCTTGGGTCTCTTGGCTGACTTTAGACTTAACACAAATTAAATTTTACTTCAATTTTCTGATTTTATGAATAATAATAATAATAAAAACAGCAACAACATTACCATTCATACTGATTTTCAGAAAAATTTTTTTTATTCACTGGTACCACTCTTTACTAAATTCAGGACTCCTTCTCATAATTTTTGCCAACACTGAAATAGTAAACCTTGTGGGATGGAAATTGCTCTGTCTGATTTGAAAATATATATATATTTTTGGGGCTCAAAATACAATTGCCAGAATGCCAGGTTATTTGATTTGCTTGACAAGAATTTTTCCTGTTTTCATTTTCCAAACTTAAACTTTTTGTTTTCCAAATTCACTTGTTTTGGGAAAGTAGCTGCTCAGTAGGAAACTTGTATTCAAGAAATTGTTTTCTTTAATGTTCATTAATTTTGTAGTTTCAATGTTCATCATGCTCTAGGTATGTGTTTCTTATTTTTGTACTGTCATTCGTTGGTCAATTCAGTTCTCACTGATCATGTTTTCTTTGGGTGTGCGACTTTGTCATTTTTGTTTTTTGTTACTTTTTGATAAGTTAGCTCGAGCATGATGGTGCTTGAAACTCCAGTAATGTTTTAAACACCTTTAAACAAAGGAGGCCTCCCAAAACTACCCTGTTGTGGCAGTTTTAAATAACTATTCCAATTGAATTCAGTTGGCTGATCAAGAAATAACAAATCTGCAGGATTTCACAAATTTATTCAATTGATTTATTGTCCTACAAAATTATTTCATACATGATCACTTTGAAATGACATATTCTGAGCTAAGTTTTCCAAAATAACGTATTCAAAGTAAATTCAGTTGTTGGATTAAGAAATTATTAATGCAATACTTTTTTCGTACAACATTATTATTTCTTGTATGATCACTTTTAAATGACAATTTCTGACCTTAGTTTTTCTTGAATAATTTATTCAAAGTAAATTTAAGAAATTACCAATGCAATATCAACCGGTAGGAGTTCACAGTTTTGTTCAATTTATTTATTGTCATACAAAATTATTTCTTACACGATCAGTTTTAAATGACAAATTCTGAGCTTAGTTTTTCTAAAATAATTTCTTTGCTTCCTTTGTTTAAAGGTGCCACAGCAAGCTCATTAGCACAGTAGTAAATAATTTCTAACTCAGCTAAGAAAACACAAATTGTGGTGTCGTACGTTCTTCACATTAGCATTGACACTAAGGTGTTCAAGAAGGGTCACAGGTTGGATAGTCAGAAGAACAGGGGTGTAGAACAGACCCTTCAGACTTAGTGGGTGTTCCTTGCCAGCTATAATATTGGCATCATAGTATAATCTTGTATCTTAGAAGGAAAATTAACCCTTGTGGTTATTTTTGTTAGGGTTTGATGTAGTAGTTTTCAGCAGTTTCAAAACCACTTGGGGAATCGTGATTTTGAATCCAAAAAAAATCTTAGGGTTCCATTAAGTACATGTACATCTAACTATTAATACTGGTTAAAATTAAGTATCATTTCAATAACAGAACTAGTTAGGGTATAAGTTTTATCCCTACTCAAGTGAATAGGTTTTTTTTTTACTGTGCTAATGAGCTTGTTAATTTAATTTTTTTCTGGATTTGATATTTTCCACCGCTTAGTATATTTTAGATTATTTTCAGGAACTGAGATGGCCCATACACCCGCACACAACACAAATGGTCAGATTTAAATCTAGCCGATCGATGTCCCTGC